CCTCCCCCCCCAGACTCTGGACATCAACTGGACGGGGATGACCAACCTGCTGGACATCCCCGGGCTCAGGTGAGTCCCGCCTGGGTGCCTGCCTTCTCTGGGATGGGGGTTGGGGGCTCGGGAGCCAGGACGCCTGGGTTCCCAGGCAGAATCCGGCCCCCCTGATTCTCCCCCCACACCTCCCAGCTCCATGTCAGACTCCATGATCATGGACGCTATCGCCGCCTTCCTGGTGCTGCCCAACCAGCTGCTGGTGCCGCTGGTGCCCGACCTGCAGGGCCTGGGTGCCTGCCTTCTCTGGGATGGGGGTTGGGGGCTCGGGAGCCAGGACGCCTGGGTTCCCAGGCAGAATCCGGCCCCCCTGATTCTCCCCCCACACCTCCCAGCTCCATGTCAGACTCCATGATCATGGACGCTATCGCCGCCTTCCTGGTGCTGCCCAACCAGCTGCTGGTGCCGCTGGTGCCCGACCTGCAGGAGGCGGCGCAGCTCCGCTCCCCGCTGCCCCGGGTGAGTGTCAGGAGGGTTGGGGGGGGGGCTTGGGGGCTGGAGGGTGCCAGGGGTCACGGTGCCCCCCAGGCTGACCCCAGCTGTGCAGGGCGTGGTGCGCGTGCACCTGCTGGCGGCGCGGGCGCTGTCTTCCAAGGACCGGCTGATGAAGGGGCTCATCGAGGGCAAGTCGGACCCCTACGCGCTGCTGCGGGTGGGCACCCAGCTGGGCACCAGCCGCGTCATCGACAACAGTCTCAACCCCGTCTGGAACGAGATCTATGAGGTGGGGCCCGGATGCCTGGGTTTTCTGTGGGCGCAGGGGCAGGGACCCTGGACACCTGTGTTCTCCAGGGGTGGGGGCTAGGGAGCCCGGACACCCGGGTGTCTGGGGGTGAGGGCCGGTGGGTGAGAGCAGGGGGCGCTGGGAGCCCGGACCCCTGGGTTCTCCTGGAGGGGGTCCCGCTCGCCTCACCCTGCTGCCCCCCCAACCCCCCAGTTCATGGTGCACGAGGTGCCGGGGCAGGAGCTGGAAGTGGAGCTGTTCGATAAGGACCCTGATGAGGATGACAAGCTGGGCAGGTCGGTGCAGGGGGTCGGGGGGCTCTGGGAGGGGGCAGCCGGGCTCTGCAGGGTCTGAATCTCACTGCCAGGGTCTCACGGCCTCCCGCCCCCCAGGATGAAGCTGGATTTCGGGGAGGTGCTCCGGGCCCGGGTGATGGATGAGGTCAGTTGGGGGGGGCACAAGCTCTGGGGGTGGGGCAGGGGGCTGTGGGGAGTCCT